TACTTGGAAGTCACATCATGGGTCTGTATGGCATGTGACATGGGCTTATCCTGAATTTGGACAAGTTTTGGCTTTCTGTTCTTTTGACCGTACAGCAGCTGTTTGGGAAGAAATAGTAGAAGACTCAAACAAGAAACTTCGAGGACAGAGTCACTGGGTGAAGAGGACAACTCTACTGGACAGTAGAACATCTGTTACTGATGTGAAATTTGCTCCCAAACATATGGGTCTGATGTTAGTAACCTGTTCAGCAGATGGCATAGTAAGAATATATGAGGCCCCAGATGTTATGAATCTCAACCAGTGGTTTCTAGAGCACGAGATCTCATGTAAGCTGAGCTTCAGCTGTATTTCTTAGAACCCTTCTGTCTCTCATGCTCACTTCCCAATGATCGCTGTGGGAAGTAATGAAAACAGTCCAAAGGCAATGGCAAAGGTTCAGATTTTTGAGTACAATGAAAACACCAGGAAATACGCAAAAGCAGAAACTCTTATGACAGCCACAGATCCTGTTCATGATATTGCCTTTGCTCCAAATTTGGGGAGATCTTTCCACATCCTGGCAATAGCCACCAAAGATGTAAGAATTTTCACATTAAAACCTGTGAGGAAAGAACTTACTTCTTCTGGTGGTCCCACAAAATTTGAAATCCATATGGTGGCTCAGTTTGATAATCACAACTCTCAGGTCTGGAGGGTGAGTTGGAACATAACAGGAACAGTGCTAGCATCCTCAGGAGATGACGGCTGCGTGAGGTTGTGGAAAGCTATTTACATGGACAATTGGAAGTGTACTGGTATTTTGAAACATCACTGGAGCCCAGTAAATGTGGGTACTCAGCTGGGAAATTGAAATCCTTCACTAAGCTCAAATACTCCAAGTCTTCAAAACTCATTACTTGTATCTTCTTCTGGCAGAAAGCACAGCTGAGTACAAGCTAGTTGGAGTAACTTTGCTGTTTTGCTGCTTTTTGCATGCACACAGGAATGGAACTTGAACTCCTTTTCCCCTTACCCAGTGAGGTTTTATCTCTCCCAAGATGCACCAGCAGCTTGGTCATTAGTAAACACAGTCCAAAAGGCCTTTAAAATTACAGTGCATTTAATTTTTTTGTAATAGTCAGTTTACTGACACTATAAGTGGAAAGAATTTTTGTTGAGACATCATTACCAAACTAACTTGGGTTTAAAAACTGAAGAATGGCTACTATCCTCATAAATAAACTGTTGGGAGGAGGGAAAACATAGTTTTATTCTAACTTGGAGAAAAAGAGAAAGGGCCCTGCTCTTCATTTAGAGGCTAGGGAGGAATCCCAAGGTTACAGCTGTATCCTGAAATGCCCTAACCATACTGAAGGAGTACACAAGGCAATTCGTTGTCTCAGGAGCAACATTATTCAAAAACTGGCAAATTTCATTCAATCTTTGTAGGGTCCACAAAATCCTCGCAGATTCACCTACTTTTTAACTTACTTTGCAAACAATCAAGATGCAAATATAAAGATGATGGATTCTTCTTCTATGGTCAGTTCTTCACTATAGTACACATCTATGTTTTGGACAGT